CTGTGTGATTTCACTGTATCATTCATATGGACACTGTGTGATTTCACTGTATCATTCATATGGACACTGTGTGATTTCACTGTATCATCCATATGGACACTGTGTGATTTCACTGTATCATCCATATGGACACTGTGATTTCACTGTATCATCCATATGGACACTGTGATTTCACTGTATCATCCATATGGACACTGTGGATTTCACTGTATCATTCATATGGACACTGTGTGTGATTTCACTGTATCATCCATATGGACACTGTGTGATTTCACTGTATCATCCATATGGACACTGTGTGATTTCACTGTATCATCCATATGGACACTGTGTGATTTCACTGTATCATCCATATGGACACTGTGTGATTTCACTGTATCATCCATATGGACACTGTGTGATTTCACTGTATCATCCATATGGACACTGTGTGATTCACTGTATCATCCATATGGACACTGTGTGACTTTACTGTATCATCCATATGGACACTGTGTGATTTTACTGTATCATTCATATGGACACTGTGTGATTTCACTGTATCATCCATATGGACACTGTGTGATTTCACTGTATCATCCATATGGACACTGTGTGATTTCACTGTATCATCCATATGGACACTGTGTGATTTCACTGTATCATCCATATGGACACTGTGTGATTTCACTGTATCATCCATATGGACACTGTGTGATTTCACTGTATCATCCATATGGACACTGTGTGATTTCACTGTATCATCCATATGGACACTGTGTGATTTCACTGTATCATCCATATGGACACTGTGTGATTTCACTGTATCATCCATAACACTGGACACTGTGTGATTTCACTGTATCATCCATATGGACACTGTGATTTCACTGTATCATTCATATGGACACTGTGTGATTTCACTGTATCATCCATATGGACACTGTGTGATTTCACTGTATCATCCATATGGACACTGTGTGATTTCACTGTATCATCCATATGGACACCGTGTGATTTTACTGTATCATCCATATGGACACTGTGTGATTTCACTGTATCATTCATATGGACACTGTGATTTCACTGTATCATTCATATGGACACTGTGATTTCACTGTATCATCCATATGGACACTGTGTGATTTCACTGTATCATCCATATGGACACTGTGGTATTTCACTGTATCATCCATATGGACACTGTGATTTCACTGTTCATTCATATGGACACTGTGATTTCACTGTATCATCCATATGGACACTGTGTGATTTATGGACTGTATCATTCATATGGACACTGTGTGATTTCACTGTATCATCCATATGGACACTGTGTGATTTCACTGTATCATCCATATGGACACTGTGTGATTTCACTGTATCATTCATATGGACACTGTGTGATTTCACTGTATCATTCATATGGACACTGTGTGATTTCACTGTATCATCCATATGGACACTGTGTGATTTCACTGTATCATTCATATGGATGGACTGTGTGATTTCACTGTATCATCCATATGGACACTGTGTGATTTTACTGTATCATCCATATGGACACTGTGTGATTTCACTGTATCATTCATATGGACACTGTGTGATTTCACTGTATCATCCATATGGACACTGTGTGATTTCACTGTATCATTCATATGGACACTGTGTGATTTCACTGTATCATCCATATGGACACTGTGTGATTTCACTGTATCATCCATATGGACACTGTGATTTCACTGTATCATCCATATGGACACTGTGATTTCACTGTATCATTCATATGGACACTGTGATTTCACTGTATCATTCATATGGACACTGTGTGATTTCACTGTATCATCCATATGGACACTGTGTGATTTCACTGTATCATCCATATGGACACTGTGTGATTTTTCACATATGTATCATCCATATGGACACTGTGTGATTTCACTGTATCATCCATATGGACACTGTGTGATTTCACTGTATCATCCATATGGACACTGTGTGATTTCACTGTATCATCCATATGGACACTGTGTGATTTCACTGTATCATTCATATTGTGATTTCACTGTATCATTCATATGGACACTGTGATTTCACTGATTTCATTTCACTGTATCATCCATATGGACACTGTGTGATTTCACTGTATCATCCATATGGACACTGTGTGATTTCACTGTATCATCCATATGGACACTGTGATTTCACTGTATCATTCATATGGACACTGTGTGATTTCACTGTATCATCCATATGGACACTGTGATTTCACTGTATCATTCATATGATTTCACTGTATCATTCATATGGACACTGTGTGATTTCACTGTATCATCCATATGGACACTGTGTGATTTCACTGTATCATCCATATGGACACTGTGTGATTTCACTGTATCATCCATATGGACACTGTGATTTCACTGTATCATCCATATGGACACTGTGTGATTTCACTGTATCATCCATATGGACACTGTGTGATTTCACTGTATCATCCATATGGACACTGTGTGATTTCACTGTATCATCCATATGGACACTGTGTGATTTCACTGTATCATCCATATGGACACTGTAATGATTTCTGTATTCATATGGACACTGTGTGATTTCACTGTATCATCCATATGGACACTGTGTGATTTCACTGTATCATCCATATGGACACTGTGTGATTTCACTGTATCATCCATATGGACACTGTGTGATTTCACTGTATCATCCATATGGACACTGTGTGATTTCACTGTATCATCCATATGGACACTGTGATTTTCACTGTATCATTCCATATGGACTGTTTCACTGTATCATCCATATGGACACTGTGTGATTTCACTGTATCATCCATATGGACACTGTGTGATTCTACTGATTTCACTGTATCATCCATATGGACACTGTGTGATTTCACTGTATCATCCATATGGACACTGTGTGATTTCACTGTATCATCCATATGGACACTGTGTGATTTCACTGTATCATCCATATGGACACTGTACTGTATGATTTCACTGTATCATCCATATGGACACTGACACTGTGTGATTTCATGATTTCACTGTATCATCCATATGGACACTGTGTGATTTCACTGTATCATTCATATGGACACTGTGTGATTTCACTGTATCATTCATATGGACACTGTGTGATTTCACTGTATCATCCATATGGACACTGTGTGATTTCACTGTATCATCATATGGACACTGTGATTTCACTGTATCATCCATATGGACACTGTGTGATTTCACTGTATCATCCATATGGACACTGTGTGATTTCACTGTATCATCCATATGGACACTGTGTGATTTCACTGTATCATCCATATGGACACTGTGTGATTTCACTGTATCATTCATATGGACACTGTGTGATTTCACTGTATCATCCATATGGACACTGTGGGATTTCACTGTATGTATCTACATGGGCGGATCGAGGAATTTTGAGGGGGTTGGGGGGCTGGGGGGTTTCGAACCCCCTGAAACCCCACCCCATTGGCTCTGCCAATGAAAAAAAAAATTTCAATGTGGTCTAAAGTCATTTTCAAAAGGGTTAGGTGAATCCCACCTAATTCAAAGATCTATAATTTGAAATAGTTTTAGATTTGTGAAAACCCTAAATACTCTTAGTACAGACAAGCAGTAACACTTCAAATGACAGTGGAAGTAATACTTTCTATATCTCACCATTATTTCAAGCAGTGTAGGTTTAATCGCTCTCCCATTGTTTGACATGCATTTCAGAATAGAAGGTCAAACACTGATGTGTCAAACTGAAGGTTATCCCTTGAAGATGTGTCAGAGTACATCAACAATGTGTTATGTGATGTTATAGATGTGCTTTCCTCATTTTCAAATACATGGTTTGGAAGTGACAAATTAAACATACATATCAAGGGATGTACACAAAGTCTAAATTCTAATTCTTTGTGACTTGAGTCCAGGCTCGTCAATGTATTATTACCATTATCTCATGCCATGTCAGTAGAATTACATTTGTCGGGAGTCTTTGTTAGAATGGTTCCCCAGAAACCCATGATGGTTGTAAGAAAAGACTAACTTTATCTGGTGGTCAGGCATGAATGGTTGCTCCTGACAAAGTCAAGCCTTGACTATCTGCAGGTTTCTGTTGTAATTCTGGAATAGGTGTCCTCCCATTACGCAGACACCTTAAAACAACATTTACGGTTCACTGAACAAATTATCTACTACCTGTTACCTACACATTATAATGGAATAGTCCAAATAAAAACACAGGAACAAACTGAAGCTATATTATTTATTTTGAAAGATGGAAGAAAAGACAGTAATTTGAATTTTTATTGCTGCAGTTTATTTTCATAAACATTTCGGTTTAACCTTCTAGTCTAACTGGAGTTGGCATCATCATATTGAAAACATTAGCTTAGCTATTAGAAATTGCGACACTGTTGTATCATATAAATCAAATAAAGACAAATGTGAACCTAAATATTATTCATATGGAATAAAGAAGTTATATGTTTTGCACACAATATTAAGATATATGACGAGTGCACTTAATTACGATTTTTTTTGAATAAATATGTTTCCGGCCCACCCTGCTCTACTCACTAGACAGTGGACTGTTCCATTATACTCGTAGGTGCTACCCTAATAAACCTTCTTGTTCAGTGTCTGTCAATAGGGTGTCTGTCAAATGGGTGTCTGTCAAATGGGAGATAACCCTGGAATACAGCTGAGTGTTAGGTTGACAACTCATTGTGTAGCATGGCTAGACCCTGTATTGTCAGGATTCTTAAACTGAAAGTGTTCTGTTGCACTTCTTGCTGACAAAGAAAGGTAAACCATCTTTTATTCTGCAATAGTGTCCTGAACGTATTGAGGGAAAACCTCACCAATACACCAACAAGGATTTCTAAATATCACTAAGATACCTTTTTGTCCTCAATAAACATTGTACAGAAAATGCTTGTCTTCTCTACTTCCCACATGTCAACTCTAAATATTTAACATTTCTTACAGATCATCCAGAATTACAAAATCAGGAACTCCCACACTGCATGGGAGACGGGAAGACGCACCAAACAAACTTTCATCATCAGAGAATGTGGATAAACATGACACCAAGATCTCCTTGTCAACACCAGCATCCAGTCAGGACATTGCTATTGACCTGGACTCACCATGGTCGCCACCTTCACCAACGTCTGATGACTCAGAGTTGGAACTGGCACCGGAACCTTCCCAAAAAAGAGCAAAGGACTTTGAACCAGGAGGGTTAGCAAGTGGTAGTTCCCCTGATGATATTGAAGACTGGTATGGACCAATGCCACCAAAGAAACGTTCTTCTAATTTTTCCCCCTCACAAATTTCTGCTGGGGTCAAAAGTCATGAGTTGGTGGGCATAGGGATATTGGAACAACAATCAAAAGATGACCAAAGTGCAACCAAACAAAACGAACTGCCCCAAGAGACCTTGTCTAAGACCAGCAACAATAGTACTTTCAGGGGTTGCTGGATAGAAGTGGGGAAAATATCCAAAAAGGGTCCTAAGACTCAGTATCGCAAATTTATGTTGGGCAAGGATACAAAATGTTTAAAAAGTGAAATATCTGATAAAGAGCATGATTCGGGGATCAATTCAAGTTCGGATAAAAAGGTAAAAGAAGACAAAAGTGAGAGAAAGTCATCTGGTGATTCTGATAACGCTGCAGGTCCTGAGTGGTCACCTGGTGAGGTAGGGATGCGGAGGCTGGAAGAGGCATGCACCATGTCCCTCCATCATCCCCCCATACACAGCTTCACCAGAGAGATCCTCGAACCTCGAGGGCCTGGAACAAGTATGCCTTATATCAAGCCACATAATTTGTCTGACAAGAAGACCATCAGCACTCTGGAAAGAATCCGAGCTGAGGAGATCCAAACTGACACCAAACAAAAATCATCAAAGAAAACCCAGAAAAAATCTCCACTGTATATAAACCCTGAGGAAGAGACACCAAACAAGGATGAGCATTTTGATGCCAGTGTTGAGTGTGAATCTGCATCCAGTTCCAGACCCTTCTTTCTGAGGTTCACCCCTCATCGCCTCAGCTATCAGTCTCCTCTAGCCGTGTTCACTAGCATGGAGGAGCCCCGATTGTCTGCTGACTTGCATCCAAGCAGAAAGAAGATGTATCTGCCATCAGAGGACGCCTCGGCTACAGTTGTGTCCAAACCAACAGGGGTGAAATCGCTGAGAGAGAGAACCTCTTCTGCATTACCTTTGGAGGATAGAAATGACCTTGAATTTATTGATTCAGAGCTGGAGAAATCATATGATGAAAAATTTCCTGACTCAGGTGATGCTTTGAGACTGCATAAACGTATTGGTAATTAAGTTTCTTTGTTCTGTTTAAGTATTTTTTTACATTATTTTCTATCATCAGAATATTCTTTTCATATTCGAATTCCTCACAGGTTTTGACTTTTAAAGCATTTTGATATTTTGTGCCAAAATCATGTGAGAGAATTTGTAATAGAGAGATCATGTGACTAACTTACATTACACTTTGATATTCAGCAATCTGACAGGTGTGTTAGTGATACTGGAATATAACTGAAGTATAGCTGAGTATGACATTAAACTACAAACTTTTAAACTAATTAACTTAGAATACTCTTAAAATCAACAGATTCAAGGACCAAGAAGATGGCCTCCCTTGTGCCGTATCCAGTGGCCGACCACTCCTTCCAGCATAGTATGGCAGAATCCAGCAATCTGAAGCTGGACCCAGACGATGATACCCGGAGGTGGCATGGATCAGGGGGACACATGTCCAGGGATGGCAGAAGGAACAGGTCGTTGACAAAGATGAGAGAGAGCTGCAGTTTATCAACTGATCTGTCTTCTTCTCAAAGCAGGATAACCAGCACCAGCACCACTTCAGACAGCACAATGGAGACCAGTGACTCGAGCCTCAGTTCTGCAGTCAAACATCCAAGACATGGCAAACATCTATATTTGAGCAATAGAAAACTGTCTTCATCTCCCAACAGAAACAGTTTGAAAGAAACATTGGAATCACCATCGGTTTCTTCAAAAAACAGGTCAAAGTCTCCAAAATGGTCAAGGTCAAGGTCAAGGTCTATGTCTCCAGGGAATAGCTCCAAGAAAACGTTGCCTGCAACAAGAAAAGGCTCTAGATCTCCATCACCTAGCAAAAGATCTCCGCTAAGATCAAGATCTACTTCACCTACCTACCTACTACCTTTTCCTGACACTTCTCGGAAAAGGTTACGATCGCCCAATAGGTCACAGAACAGGTCTAGGTCATCATCACCGAGGAACAGATCAGCATCCCCACTCAAACGGAAGAGATGTAGGTCTCCTAGAAGATCCAGGTCAAGGTCACTCACCCCTGACAACACATCAACCTCACCTAGCAATCAGTCAAGGTCACCTAACAATAGGCAAACACTGGAGGATGGGGAGCCCACATCTCAAACCAGTCAGACATCGAACTGTGGGAAGAGTGCTTGGACCTCAACCCCTAAGTATGAGCGATGGCAGAGAAAGGCCTTGTCTCGTGGACAGATGCAGAGGGTTCACCTAAAAAAGCAAGAACTAGAGGCGGTATGTAACACAATTTTTATTTGTTCATAAGGCCAGACCAATTTTATTTCTTGTTTTATGGATCTGCCGGTCGTATCTTTTCAAGAATAAGAAAAAAAAATTAGTTAATTTTCCCCGCTCAAAAAATAAAATCCTAATGTTTTTTTTGGTCAAAAATGTAAATATACTAGAAATTTTTTTTAGATTGTCTTTTGTAAAATACTTGTATTTTTGTCTTCATTTTTTTTACCTTCTGCCTTTAGGTTTTCTGAGGACAAAAATCCGTAAAACAAGAAATAAAATTGGTCTGGCCTAAGTGTTATTTTGCTAATGAAAACCTCAATTCAACAGAGGCAATAGTTTTACCAACAGTAATGTAAGTTCAGTCTTGTTTTAAACACTTGTTTACAAATTCGCCAACTATAAAGTATTGATATTAACGGATTCGCCAGTGGTGCTGAAAAAATTCAGGGGTAAACTTGCATGGCCTATGAACTCAGAAAAAACAAGAAACTCCAAACTAGGATCCAAGAAAAGGGCACAGACATTCAACTACAAGTCAGGAAGGACTCTGACTCCCCGTGGAAATCAATCAAACTTGACGATAATCTATAGACTTCTCCTCACTGTGACCTCAAAATGTACTATGTGCGCGTGTTTGTGTGTGAGATTCAGAGGCACAGACGAAACCACCTCCACCTCAAAAAAGGATTGCTCTCTCTCTCATTTCCATCTACAGACACTAGATTACTTCTTGTGTGTGTAGTTATGGAATGGGGAAAAAGTGTGTACGTGTTTTCCTTTCACTCGAAGGAATAAGTCAACCTATCGGATCTTTTGTATGTCTATTTTTCACGGACATTAATTGGATGGACCTTTTCATAAGGTAAATAATGAAACATTGAAAGTATATATTAGCGATGCATTGTGTGGATCTAAACGTCCACAGTTTATTTTTAACTGTATTTCAGTGAATGTCATGTAGCGCTGAAAATACAATTCTCCACTGATGTGTTGATACGGAGAATAATTTAGATACCTTTTTTATGCACCGCGTCTATACCGGTTGTTGACAAAATTCTACACATCTGGGGAGGGTTTGCTGGTGGCGGTAGATCCAACACTGAACTATATCTTCTAGCTTTTTCATGCCACACGAAAATGGAACCAGATCACACGTATTCTCATCAGGGAATTATTATAAAGCAAACATACAACAAAGTCAGCTATAACGCATTTTTAATTCATGTTAACCCTATTTTATAGGGATAACGGTGTGCAGTGGAATAATATATATACTTTTCACTTATAGTGAGTGAGTGAGTGAGTGAGTTTAGTTTTACGCCGCACTCAGCAATATTCCAGCTATATGGCGGCGGTCTGTAAATAATCGAGTCCAGTGATCAACAGCATGAGCATCGATCTGCGCAATTGGGAACCAATGACATGTGTCAACCAAGTCAGCGAGCCTGACCACCTGATCCCATTAATCGTTTCTTACGACAAGCATGGGTTACTGAAGGCTCATTCTAACCCGGACCTTCACGGGTCCTTTTCACTTATAACTACATCAAAGACGTATATGTGTACATCTTCAATTACACTTAGACTGGTCTCTCACTCTGCAGAGCGCAACCCGCTCTGAGTGTTGTGGCTGTACCGGATGTTGACAAAGTATTATACTTCCGGTGGGACTTTCACTTTGTGCCTAGCGTTAGCTATAACGCCTCTGCCCATTCGCACCATACAAAACGAAATTCTAATGACACCTGTTCTCATTCATGAACCAAACTTACCACAAATATTTTGAGCCTCCATTCTATAACGCTACTATGATCCATGTTAATCATGACAACTGTAATTTACATGGGCAGCGTAACTTTGTTCTGATAGTGTTTTCTGTAATGTTTGTTGTTAGAACTCAGAAAGACATCCTCTTGCTATCTCGTATCATAAAGAATAGAAACCAGTTGATATTCATTTTTAATAAAGAATTACGAACCAAATTTTATTCAATACACAATTTCGTAAGGCATGTTTAATTCATGATGTTTATGTCACCTCAAGGGTACTTATTTGGACCATCATCGAGTTGTTAGTAACCTCCCTAAAGAATGGATAAAGGTGATAGACAATTCTAAATCTATATGTGTCTACGATCTTAGGATTAATAACTTTCTTGTGGAATGGACTAAACCATCAAAGGGATCTCGGAAGATATATGATATACTTGTGCAAAATAATTATCTCCCTATTATCTGTAGTAAATGGCAACAAATGTTCTTAACTGACTTAAACTGGAAGGAAATATTTAGTCTTCCTAAACAATGCTGTAGAGATATCAAGCTACAGGATTTCCAATATAGATTTTTGCATCGCATTATATACACCAAAAAGGAATTATTTAAAATGAAGTTGATCGACAATAGTAATTGTCAAAGATATATTAATGAAAACGAATCGATTGTGCATGTATATTTTGAATGTCCACAGGTTAGTCATTTTTGGTACAATCTGGAACATTTTTTGAGACAACATCTGTGTCATGAGATTCAGCTTAATCTTAAATCCATCCTCTTTGGTATCCAGGGGACCGCAAACTTTAAACTGGTGAACCACATTCTTTTGTCCGGAAAAAGATATATATATATATATATGTTGTATTAGAAATGAATCTCTGTCTTTCAAATCCTTTATTGCTACCTTCAAAGATATTTTTCAAGTTGAGAGATATGTTGCTAGAAAGAAAATCCAAACAAATGAATGTATGAGCCAATGGCTACCACTACTCACAACATGGACCGATGTGTCATGACTCTTCAGCATGCTTAAAGTAGAACTTTGAGATAGTGAATTACAATATGTGCCCATTCAAGGACAGGAAAATATATACATATTTATATCCATAAGCTGTATTAGAAATTTAATTTTGTCCTTAGAATCCATCGCTTCTTTGAAAGATATGTTGCCAGAATGAAAAACCAGCCAGACGAATGTGGAGTAAACGGGCACCCATTACACAACATGGTCTGATGTGTTATGACTCTTCAATGTATAAAATCTATGATCTTTGTGCAGTAATACTTGAATGTATCTACTCATGTTTGAAGACTGATGTGTTGTGAACTGTCAACATGTACAAGCTTGTGTTAGGCATGACATCTGTATAATAATGTATGAATGTTTCTACCTCTTGGTTACCCAGAATGATATGGTGCTTTTTATGAAAACAAACCAAATGAATCCAGGAGCAAACAAGTAATATTACCCATAGCACCCACTTACCTAATTGCTCAAGCTTAGACAATCCGCGATTATACAACCTTGATTGTATGATTTTTGTATAAAATGATTGTAACTAGAACTGTCACCCGTCAATGTGTACGATATTTGTATACAATGACTGTACCTACTGATGTGAATAAATAAAAATGTGGAAAAAAAACCCTATAAAGTATTGATATAGGAAGATAAAGAAGAAAATGTCTCAACGTGTTTCCCTTTGAATGGTTGACGCACAGTATTCATACACGGTTATTAGGACCATACATCTAGATATTAATTATTTAAAGGGTGACAGTGTAAGTTGTTCACTGGTCACCAGGGGGACATGGGTTGATGTACATGTTGAGGGTACATCAACATATTTATCTTAACGAACACTTCAATGTTGATTTTGAACTGTTTGAAGCATGGGTATCAGATCATAATAATGAGTACCAGAGTTGGGCAATTAGTCAATAGATTCCGGCAGATGACAAGAAAAACAAATTTAGAAATATCGCCCTTCCATCGATTTGCACCCGGAGAGCGGAAGGTCGCGGGTCCGAACCCTGACCGCGTCACATACCAAAAGACGTTAAAATATGGTACTTGTTGGTCCCTGCCTGGCGCTCGGCATTAATGGGTACAACAAGGACTGGTCGGCTCGGGGTCAGTATAATGTGTCTGGGTGGGGTATTCATGCTTCACTGCGGCATGGTATCTCAGTGGGCTATCACTATAAAACCAGCTTCAGTCTGGGATAGTACAAGCAGCCGCACATACACATACACACGCAGCACGTCGTCATATGAGCGAAATATTCTCAAGCACGACGTTAAACCCAATTTCACCTCACCTCACCTCCATCGATTTGCATTCACAAAACATTGGTCATTTCCATTCATCAACATGTGACTCAATTATTCGAGATATAGAGATTATTACACGAACAAGTGTGTCATATGACTTGAAGGAAATGAGTGTGAAATCTTGTATACATAATACATAATTTTGCACAAGTTTCATATAGGTCATATGACACACTCGCTTGAGTGAAATAATTTCTTCATTATCCATTTTATACATGTACATGTGGGCAGTAAGACACGGTAAGAAAGTGTGACGGCCCTCATCATTGACTAATTGTTTAATGACATCACAGATGACGAAATACAGAAACAATGGTTGCTAGGCAAAATATGATATATATGACACTGGTTATGTTTCACCATATGGATAATAAAAAGAACTACTAATACAAAGTACCAAATGAATTCCCCCAGTTTGGCATTCCCAGCGGGTAATATAGAAAATTTAACTCGCTTGTAAGCGGGGTACATTGAAAATAATAGAAGAGTGCTCAGGCATCAGAAAACGACATTATGTGTGAGGTAAGATAATATATGGTAAATAGATTACTATTTATGACAATTGTTTGGACAGTGTTTGTGTTTGTGTTTGTAGTGGATTGTGAAATTTGTCACATTTTAAACCTTTGATCTTTATTTGACTGCCAGTATTGCCATGTCATAGTTTATTTTTCAGATACCAAAGTTATATTTCATTCTATAAAGGACATCTGAGTTGAAACATGAGGTTTCTGTTGTTGCGTTTTTGCATATATTCTGTACCATATTTGAGCTTTCAAATCCATTAATAAATTTAGAAAAAAATTTGGCTGAGCTACAAAGCTTTGTATCCTTCCATTTCATCAGTGGGTGTGTATCTAGTAGAAATTAATTATTAAATTTTCATTAATGTGGCGAAGGATGCTTTCTATTGAGACAGAAATGGTAACGTAATCCATCGTGGTACTTCTTTTGGAATGGTAGTCACTTATGAGCAATGTATGCCCATTGATCAGTGCCACCAGGAGCTGTTGTATCTTACCAGTGGACAACAGTGTTGGTCAGATTACTGTTGCAACTAAATGAAAAATAATCCAGTGAAGAATCAAGTCGATAAATGATGTGAAATGAGGCAATTGGGGTGAACATTTAGATGGTGGAATCCTTGACATTTCGAAACAGTGGGGGTGCCTTTGTTTATTCACTTAGCAGTGTGGTAACATATGTTACATTTAGGATTACACTTTCTTAGTTAAGTGCAGATTCAAGTACTTTTGTTGGGTTGAGTCCCATCCGGGATTCGAACCCACACCCTCAGAGTCAGGCACCTATTCTATAGCACACAAAGTCAGACACCTAACCCGCTCAGCCACCAAGGCTTAGCAGTGTGGTAGTAGTTGTTGACTATTTCAAAAAGCGTGTGCTTGTCACACTGGGTTTGATAGCAGGTATATTTTGTATATGATACATGCTGTTTATACTTATTTGATGACTTGTCTGTACGCAGGCTTTCAAGAGTGACTGTGAGACCATCTGTAACGTGACCAAGGTTCTATTGAGGTGAGTGCTTGCTACTGCATATAATGAAAACCTAACAATTCAGAAAATTTTGTGTGTCTATATAAGATAGATGAGATAGTATATTATTATGCTGAAAAAAATTGGGTTTACATTGTAACATAGCATTCATGATTTAAGTTAAACACACTGACAGACACACCACATGAAATGACATTATAACACTTATTAACTGTAAATGAGAAAAAGGTGTATATGATGGAAGAATGTGAAGAACAAATTAGAAGTACTCAAAGGTAAATTGTGTATGTCTAAAAATATCTCATGGTTTCCTCATTAAACATACGACTACTGATAGTACAAATGATTGACAAGCTGGGTGTCTTCAAATTTTTGGTTTGTTTAGTTGACAACCAGAAGAATAAGTCTCATATTCTGAAAACATACCGGTACTCATTTTGTGCATTTTTGTACAGTTTGTTGCTTATAATACATGCCAGTGTCGTGATGGAAGGCCACCTGCCGATCAAACAATCTACTGAGAGTTTTATATCCTTTGTATGAAGGTTTTATAAAACAAGGACAAAGTAGTTAAATGAGCATTAAAATGTCTAATACAATGTACTAAGATATAGTTCTGTAAGTAGGTTTTTGCTGTATATGTTTGTAAATACAATCCATATTTGTATTCATGGAAAGTAATTGTGCCCAGATATTTGTACCCATCAACAAATTGAATTTCTTCATTATCTGTGTTAAGTGAATCAAATTTGGATTTTTTTTCCTGAAGTTGACCCCAGAATCTAATAGAAGGCTTAAAGTGCAGCATGGTCTGTATGGCCAACAAATATATACTCATGATATTGTCACAACCTCACAATCGACTCAGCTTTTAGCAGAGATTTCTTATGGATTGGAAAGGGTTTTGACGCTTCTTTTTACGTTAAGACAGTCATCTGAGTTGCTGATAGAATCATTTGTGTGTAAAATAATAGTATCCCCACGTTACCTCTTTTCGAGCGTCACCTCATTTCGAGCCGCCAATATACACGTGCGGATTTATTTGATGACGTCATCCAGGTAGCCACTTCAAAGCGGAACGCAGGTTACAAGTTGTCAGGCTGTCTAGGACCAGAGACCATATAATAGGTATTATATGGTCTCTGCTAGGACGTAATCATGTGGCGTGTGAAGCTGCAGGTGGTAAGTTAGATAAAAAACGTAAACCCATGACAAAAAGTCACTATTTTGCCTACTGCATATTTTTTTTAAAGTTTAAAGCTGCATTTCTTGCACTGAAAACATTTGACATCACTTCGAAGTTATGCCGTCTGCAGAATGTAAACTTCCGGCCAGGATCACATGACTTACATCATGTGGCTGGCTATTTTTAACTTGCATCGCGATCGCTAGTAGGGGCCGTCTTATAAGTGTTGTAACCAATTTTTCGGTGTATTGCAGAATTCAAGACCCCAGTCGTATAGGGTTTATGACCCAGGGGCTATGACCAGGGCATATTTAGCCGTTGTGGAAGACAATATGCCTGTCAAAACTGCAGCTAGGAAGTTTTCTGTACCTGAGACGACTCTCAGAGATCGTGCTAGGGGTAGGATCCATCCAGAAACACTTAAGTCAGGGACTGAACCAATTCTTAGTTTAGAAGAGGAATCTAGACTTGTTGAACATCTAAAGTTCATGAGTAGTGTTGGGTACGGATACACCAGGGTGGAGGTCACTACACTGGCATCTCAGTATGCTGTTCAACTGGGAAAACGAAATAAAGATGAGCCCTTTTCTCTCCATTGGTATTATGGATTTATGAAGCGATGGCCTTCTCTCATGCTGGACAAGCCACGCCCTCTCGAAGTTTTCAGAGCAAAGCGACGTCGCGCAGGAAGCAGTTTCCAAATATTTCGGTCGAAACCGGGCCGTGCTAGAGAAGTACGATTTATTTGACAAGCCGCAATTCATCTATAATGTTGACGAAAAAGGGTTGATTGAGAACCATACTCCTCCTAAAGTGGTATCTTCTTCTGAATATCGATGTGTCGGCGGTCACTACACCAAGATCATCAACAACAACTTTAATTGGTTGTGGGAGCGCTCTCGGACAACAAATCCCCTCCTTGCCATTATTTAAGGGACAGCGTCTGCGTTCGGATATTCTATCTGAATGTACCCCAGGTACAAATGCCACAACTAGTGATTCAGGGTGGTCAAATATGGAAATATTTTCCACTTATTTGAATGATCACTTCCTGAAATACGCTCAGAGGTCAGATCCGTCACAGCCGATTCTCCTTCTTTACGACGGGCACCGCTCTCATGTTTCTCTCCCCATCATTGACTGGGCCATATCTCGGAGCATTGTTTTGATGGTACTGCCAGCTCACACTTCTCATGTTTTACAACCAATGGACGTTGGTTGATTCGGGCCACTAGAAAGGATCTACAATTCCATGAAGCACACGTATATGAGAGAACAAGTCACCACCAACATAGATAAGAACGCTATGTGTGCTGTTGCTTGTAAAGCATACACGTCGGCTCTTTCTCCAAGAAACCTGATGTCCTCGTTTGAGAAATGTGGAATATTTCCATTTGACGATTCTGTCGTCTCTGCGGAAGCCTTGAGACCTTCTACAGTTTTTATTACATCCGAGGAAAACCCTTGAAGCCGGCGACTCACTTTTTAGACAGAAGGAAGGCGCTCTGCACAAAATCAAGTCTGCACCAACACTGAAGCGAAAGGCCTCAGCTCTATCGTCAGTGGTAAAGCCATCACAGAAGAAAATACAGTGTTCAAAATTCAAGAACACACTCAGAAACAGCCAGTCAAGAAGAGGAAGCAACAGTCTGCACAGAAGAAAAAAGTATCACAAGTTCGTTCAACTCTCTCTGCCAAACCAAGCAGCGTCGGGATTGTCTCATATGTACGAGAGGTTGTGCGAAGTGACAGCGGTACAGACACGGACAATGAGGGTGATGACGAAGTGTGTTGTGTTTTGCAAATTGTTTCAACCGAAAGAACTGCAAAATTGTGTCTCGCTTGTATTCACAAAGTGGGCTCAGTGTAATGCGCACCGAGTTGTGATCACTGGGTACATCTCAAATACTGTACACAGGTGCGGCGTTGTGAGATCAACAGCTGAATTCTGGTGTCCGTGTCATTCGGGAAAATTCAGAGGAATAGAGCCTGTTAAGTCGACTGAAGTGACAACTGTACATTAGTTTTAATATTTAATGCCTAGATCCCATAACTCATCGCGTGTCATAACAATGCATGTACGCTTACGGCAGTGAGGCGACAATTTGCCAGAACTAACAGTGAAATCATATTCACGATCGAGTCACTGTGCTATATTGTGCATATATGCTACATTAATCATTATAGCGGAAATTTAAAGACTTATACTCGTTTGGAACATTTTGGATGACTGTGAATTCATAAGACCGCTTCAAGTTTTGAGATCACCCCGCGCTGGCTGACACTGTGTTGAATACGTCAACAATATTGAGGGGCTCGAAAAGAGGTGACGTCACAAAAACATGGCGATCAACTAGGTCACTTCGAACTTCGAGGTATGTTCTGCTGCAAACAAACGACGCATCTCCTTAGCTAACAAATTTAACAGCACAATAAATGTAATTCAAAGTAAGATAACTATTATTGATATATCCCAAAGCATTTCTCCTGATTGTCATTGTTTGTCTTAGGGGCTCGAAAACACCGTACGCGAGGATATAGGAGATATCACACGTTAACCTTGTGCAGCCCCTTTTCGCTTATAACTAGGAGAAAGCAGGTTCAGTTTGCTGTGACTTATTGTGGTCAGTTTCAAACATGATTGAAGTCACATGACTGAACCCATGATTCGGTAATCCAGACATTTGATAATCTGGACGATTTTTACTGGCACCAATGCTGTCTGGATAAACAGGTTTTCACTGTAATTCAGCTTTTAAAGCAATTTCATTGTATGGGTCCAAAATCCACTAACTTGCCAAGTAATCAAGTCATACTGCATCTGTAGTGTACACAACAGTCTGTTTCAAGACATCCTCGATAATCTCCAGGGTATACAGTTGTGCCCCGTTTATCCGGACACTTGTGCTTTTCTTGAAATTGTCCGGATAAACGAATTTCCGGATATCTGAACCACGGACCATATGTAAAAAGACATACAAAGAAACGAACATAATAGACATGATGTAATCTTTATTGATAAGACATCAACAAATAACAATGCATACATAAATATCATCTTGTCAAATAAAGTAGTCAAGTCAGTAACACGTGTACATGCATCTGTCTGTCAAATGCTAGCAACCAATCACAAAACAGTTGATTTTTTTTTATGTCATCCATGCATGGCATTGTTCCTGTACCTAACATGAACTGCCGGATTAAAGTCACTACCAAAACAATGGGGACGTCTAGCCTTGCCAATCACAGCTCAAAATTAACTCAGTGTGACCTTGCTAATTACAGGTAGTTTATCCTCTCACGCTTCAAGGACTGCCGACTTCTTTCATGTTAGGGCACTCAAAGCCACTCGGTAAAATGCCTGTGTAAACATACTGACAGGTGCTCAGCCATCCGGATATACGAGAATAAAATGCATATAATTTAGAGTTTTGGATGCATCTGCGTCTCGGCATGATAATTATACATCCTCCCTTTGCTGACTTTTATTCCAATCATGTGTCTTTGCTGGGAAGTTGAGCGTAACAGTCACAAGGCTTCCATAATTTCTTGCCTTGCAATTCGGAGTCTGTTGACCTTGTTTTCCATGTCGAAGTCGATTTTATGTAACCAATTATATATAAAAGTTGGCAAACACAATTTTTGCAGACGTACCCTGAAAGAGGTAGAAGGAGTTCTTGCATATATATTAAGGTTTTGTCAGTATGATTTTTTTCCTAAATCTCAACAAACATTCGCAGCTACAACCGCAGTCTTTGTTGACACTGGCAAGCCCCGGTTGTAACTGCTTATCTGAGAAGGTGGAGCCCACAAGGGAGGTAGATGTATCCAGGGTAGTAGTGGAGATTTATCAGAATGTATACCCTGGAGATTATCGAGGTGGTTTCAAGACAGTCATTTCCTTATCTCACTCACTCACTCGTCTTTGTTCCAGTAAGGATCCAAGTCTGGAAAAACAAATGTGCAATAGTGCTAAGAACACTCTGACTGATCTTGGTGCCAAGTTCGTCACCCAACTGCAAGAGTTCATCGATTCACTAAGCTCCCATGTCCCAAGGTCAAGAAAAAAGGCACCCTAGCACCGCACCCTAGCACGTCAGTCATCCAGATGGTGCTGTCCTTAAAAAACATGCTTATTGATAATCATGGCAAAGAGAGATGTTAAATGTTGTCTTTATATGCTTATGTATTTTGGAACCAGAGCTGTGCAAAAAGAGGGAATCACATCCATGTGCTCAAAGTAGCAAATTTTGGTCTTATATAGTAAGATCTCTGCATTTGTATGGATATGCCCCATTCATAGTTGAAAGGATGAGTGTTTATGAGTGTATTTGTGCTTGAAGTATGTTGACTCTTGATACATTACTAAAAAGAAAGAGTCTGCTTGATTTATGTGTGTGCTTGGACTCTGTGTGCTTGTAGTATGTGTGTGCTTGAAGGATGTATGTGCTTGAGGGATGTGTGTGCTTGAGGAATGTGTGTGCTTGAAGGATGTGTGTGCTTGAAGGATGTATGTGCTTGAAGGATGTGTGTGCTTGGGGGATGTATGTGCTTGAAGGATGTATGTGCTTGTAGTATGTGTGTGCTTGAGGGATGTATGTGCTTGAAGGATGTAAGTGCTTGAAGGATGTATGTGCTGGTAGTATGTGTGTGCTTGAAGGATGTATGTGCTTGTAGTATGTGTGTGCTTGAGGGATGTATATGCTTGTAGTATGTGTGTGCTTGAGGAATGTGTGTGCTTGAAGGATGTAAGTGCTTGAAGGATGTATGTGCTTGTAGTATGTGTGTGCTTGAGGAATGTGTGTGCTTGAAGGAGGTGTGTGCTTGAAGGATGTGTGTGCTTGAAGGATGTATGTGCTTGAAGGATGTGTGTGCTTGGGGGATGTATGTGCTTGTAGGATGTGTGTGCTTGAAGGATGTATGTGCTTGTAGTATGTGTGTGCTTGAGGAATGTGTGTGCTTGAAGGAGGTGTGTGCTTGAAGGATGTATGTGCTTGTAGGATGTATGTGCTTGAAGGATATATGTGCTTGTAGGATGTATGTGCTTGTAGTGTGTATGTGCTTGTAATATGTGTGCTTGAGGGATGTGTGTGCTTGAGGAATGTGTGTGCTTGAAGGATGTAAGTGCTTGTAGTATGTGTGCTTGAGGAATGTGTGTGCTTGAAGGATGTGTGTGCTTGAAGGATGTATGTGCTTGGGGGATGTATGTGCTTGAAGGATGTATGTGCTTGTATGTGTGTGCTTGAGGGATGTATGTGTTTGAAGGATGTAAGTGCTTGAAGGATGTATGTGCTTGTAGTATGTGTGTGCTTGAGGGATGTGTGTGCTTGAAGGATGTATGTGCTTGTAGTATGTGTGTGCTTGAGGGATGTATGTGCTTGAAGGATGTGTGTGCCTGAGGGATGTGTGTGCTTGAAGGATGTATGTGCTTGAAGGATATATGTGCTTGAAGGATGTATGTGCTTGAGGGATGTATGTGCTTGAAGGATGTATGTGCTTGAAGGAGGTGTGTGCTTGAAGGATGTATGTGCTTGAAGGATGTATGTGCTTGAAGGAGGTGTGTGCTTGAAGGATGTATGTATGGGAAGAGAATGCATCAGGAAGAATATACAATTTTGAAACAATGTATATGCATGGAGTTTATGCATGCAAGATAATGTCCATGTATATTTGAATGATATGAGTGCTGAAGGATGAGCATGCTTGATGCTGCATGTACATGATTAATAAAGTATTACATCCTTGAAGTTTGTGGATACTCAAAGTGTTAAACTGCTTTATGAAATTATGAATGCTTGTGGAATATGTGAACATTGAAGGAAGTATATACATGTTTGCAGTAGCTAAGTAAATAAATTAGGGATTACCGTTTGTACAGTGACCGGTGCTTTGTTCTGCAGAATCTGAGGGTCGGTCAAAGTGTAGTCAGCCTAACTATATTCTTGATGTCCAATGTTTGTAAAGCTTCCATTTTAGTTTGTAGGAATCATTAGCAAAGCCGTATAAAAAAATTCACATATGTGGGTAATGTGATTAACGAGATATTAGTCATCACAACACACTGGGGTATAATATTTCTAGAAAAAATGCAGAAAATGAAAAACGATCTGTCATTTAGTACCTCTTGGATAATGGTATGCCCTCAGATAATGTCATATAAAATATGTTAGTATAGTATTGGATGACTTCCGTCATAATCAAGAGTCAAAGCTTTGGATTGCTTGATTCATATTTAGTCGGGGGCTGTTTCTTTTAAGGACGCCCCCATTTTAGTCTTTCAAAAATATTGTGTCCAGATATTCAAGCTGGCCCTGTTTACAATATACTGAGAGTTGATACTTGTGTGACCATTCAGTATTTACTTTGAACCTTTAGCATCATGTGTGAAAAAGTGAAAACATTAGAATAAGTTATGTCCTTTATGTCTGAAAGGGGGTGGGTAGTGTCTCCAAAACAAGCTGTTTCAGTAAACATGAAGGGGGAATCACTTTAACAAGCGATTGTACTTTCAAATTGCTTTTTTATGCACTTTAATATCTAAGTTTGATTCTAGCGGCCGTCTACCTATCTCAAACACACAAAATGTTTCTTGCATATTTTGTTACCTGAAGTTTGTGGTGCATTTATTGCAGAGTTTGCGCTTTTTTGAGGATACCAAGATAAAATTTAAAACAAAATGGGGATTGTAAGGCTGGAACGTAGCAAAACCAATTTGCTTGAGGTTGACAGATAATATGTAGAAAAATAAAACATAAAAACAGCTGCATTTGTATCATTTACTAGGTCAGGCTGACTACTTTTTGACTGTCCCTCGTATATATATATACCACATGGAATCAACGTTTTGATTATGTCAACTGTTTCCTCAGTGTTTATATTTCACATCATTGTGTGTTGTATTTTAAAATGTGAAGGTTCTATTCTTCTATCTTTTACTGCTGTGATTTGATCAAATGCAAGATTGGTATGAAAAGAAGTGTTTAGTGTCACTCTTTTGAGTGGCATTTATAAAAGTTGGAGAGGCCGATAAAGGCAAACTTTATGGATGAACAACAGCTTTGTTCAGGTGGGGGGTGTATTTTTTCAATACAGCAGCTGCAGGTATTGTCAAGCAGGTATGTTGCAGATACAAGAATATGTTTTACAACGTCGCATTAGCTGAATAATGAAGTTGTTCATCCATAATGTTTGTCGTTACCTGAAGTGTTTACTGTCCGCCACATTTCATGATACAGCTATATTTGTAGGAATTTGAAGGAATACAGTATGTATCATTACTGCTGTGTGTGATGTTATTATCTCTTACACAGCTCACAAAGTGCCCGGGCCATTCCCTAGACCAGTCCCTTTCCTGGTGTTCTGGTGTGTAGGGGAGGAGGACAAACAGATTAACTGTTCAGATTATTTTTTAAATCAAATGAAACAAAGTTCAAAGATGTTTGAAAGGAGAAGCAACAATTTTGTCAACCAAACACAGTTTACTATATAACCTGTTCCTACTTTTTATTTGTAAAACATTTTATCATCTTGCTGATAGTCCAGAGTAATCATGATGTGTGTTTGAGTCATGGCATTCAGCACAAGCAACACTGATCTTCTTGTTTGTTCTAGTATATACAGTACAACCAGAAATGTTTGAGAAGTTAGAGATTGTAATTTTTTATATTTTTTTCACTCATTACTCATAAATGTGAATATTAGCAGAACATAACTCCAGATTCAAAGACAGGTGAACAGTTAGTATTTTGTCAAGTCACCATGGGCAGCAATGCAGGCTTCAATGCGGCGGGGCATACTACTGATCAAAGAAGTTAGAAAGTCGTGGTCCATGCTGTCCCAATATCGGACCACCTCTTCTTTCATTTCAGCAATATTGGTCAGATTTTTCTTTTTGACACATTCCTTCATAAGTCCCCAAACATTTTCTGTTGGATTTAGGTCAGGGCTATAGCTTGGCCTATCTAATAATGTCATATTTTGGGTCTGAAACCAGGCCTGTGAATGCTTTGAACGATGTTTTGGGTCGTTGTCCTGCTGGAAAATATATTTTTTTCCATAAAACATGTGAGCAGATGGAAGTAAATGTCCCTTGAGAATATCTGTGTACCGCTCACTGTTCATATTCCCTTCAAATACACAGAGGGGCGTTGCCCCTATCACAGATATGCCACCACACACATTAAATTTCGGACTGTACTTAGGGCGCTGATACAAAGGTTTTTCAGTTTGTTTGGTCCAGAATTTCAGTGTATTAGGAAACAGCCACACAGAACTTTCATCTGTGAAAATCACATTGTCCCAGTTAAAATGTCTATGCTGTAAGCACCAGTTCAACCTTCGCTCCTTTTGTTCAGGTTTCATGATCGGTGATGGAATTCCTCGACTTTTCTGCCAACCCATTGCATGCAGCTCAGTTCTAATTGTCTCCTTACAGACAGCCACAGTTCCTCTATCAATCATATCCAGCCTTAAGTTTTCTAAACTCCTTCGTTTGTTTTTAGAAACAAGAATACCAAGCCGCCTCCTGTCACCGACAGTCAATTTTCTGGGCCTACCTGCACCTCCCTGGTGCTCAATGCCATATCCATTTGCAATATTTTTCAAAACACTATAAACAGTGGACAAAGGGATACCTGTTCTACTTGAAATCACTTTAGCTGATATGATGTCCTTGTTATAATACTCTAAAATCAACTTCCTCTTCTCTAAATCATCCATACTGAGGATCACTGAAAATGTCTGCTAGCAAGTAAACAAAGGGGGGATAACTCTTCACAAACTAATGAAAAAGGATTAACGGAGTTGGCTCTCTTGAATGAAACCAAGCACTTGATGGCTGGTCAAGGTTGTTTATACTAGAAATCCAATTAAACATATTCCTAAAATTCTCAATAATTTCTGGTCATACTATAACTGATTTCTCTTGTTGCTGAAACTTGACTAAAATATATAGTGATACTAATTATGGATATTTTCACTATTATGAAGTTTTGTATGTTTTTTTTGTTGTAAAGGTATCAATTTATAGAACTCTTCTTTTATGAAACTTTATAATCAAACACATTAAATACATTATGTTCTGCTCTGTCAGTGGCTGCATGGCTATTGGCAGACTGAAGATTGAAAAGTTTTCATTCCAACTTGTCACTGGGTATAACAAAGTGATCTTTCTCATTCAAACTTGTCTCTGAGTAAAACATGGTGATGTTTCAATAAGTGTTGAATGCCCATATTTTACAATCACCCACTGCTTACTGACAGAAGCTCCATGCTTTTGTAAGATTGTGTCACATTAGCAACAGTTGTATTCATCGGAGAGCTGAAGGACTCGACGATGGGCTTTTCAACAATTTTCTGTTTAACCAGTTGAAAATTTGTAATGAGTTTTACGAGTACAATATGTTGTGTTACATTCAGTATCACACATTTAGACAATGTTGGAATTTCAATACCAGTTTTAGATTTGTCTGGTAGTCCACACTGATGTTGAAAATGTTTCTATTGTCAATGCTGTGGCTATCCCTTGTTTCCGACCACTGAAGGCCCTGGGAGAGTGAGTCAGATGCCTGTTTGTCAAACAAGCACCTTGGTAGAGTTTCTTTCTTTGTCCACAACCTTGCACAGAAATGATTATGAAAAGAATTTTTGGTAGCCCGAACCTAAGTATATCAGGGTATATAGTTACACCAAGAAATTCTGTCCATCTGAACAAAGACATTTTTGTTCAACCAATGACTTGAAAATTAATATATTTGATATTTTTAATTTAAAGAGAATTATCACAAATTAAATCTCTTTACTCGGGAAACATTCCTATGGCAGTTTTGTTCAACCAATAATTTTATGATCATTTAGTGTATTGTTTTCAGATTATGGTAATGACGTTTTTGTTTTTTGGAAAGGTACAGTGCACAGCTTGGTGCAAATCTTGTATTTTTGTGCAGAATACTCATTACTCATTGTTGTTCATATGGAGGTGGGAGTCATGGTTGGGCGTAATAGAGAGCCTTGCTTACATTTTTTGGTTTGTCACATTAGTTTGTTTAATTTGTAACATGTTTTATTTATCTGTTTTAAATGTAAATCTTTAAAAGAAATTTGTCTTTAAGATGTGTTTGCTTCATAAAAGTATGAACACAGTTTTACAAATTATACTTTTATTTCATGTTTGTTCATAATCTTTTTATTTTTACAATTGTATTTTACCTAACCAGTCTGTGACTGATATAAGCCTGTAGTACACAGACATCAAATTGTTGAATGTATCTCCTGACAGTAGGAGATACTACTCATGTTTGGTCTTCGGGAGAGAGTATTCCAGTGTATATATTCTACTATGTGGTGCTTTATAAGTGGGTAAGTTCCTTGGTCAAGCTATGTGGCATGTTTCTTTCGTTCCACAATGAAACTTCTTTTACAGGATTGAGTCCATACAGAAGAACACCATACAACCTATAGTTCCAGGCACACATGACATTTAAATCTAAGCCAACAGGTTTCATATGTGAAAATATTCTTACTCAGGGCTCATATTTTTCAGTTTGATTATGAGACAAAAAACAAGAAAACCCAATGAAATTAGAAAAAAAATGGTGAACTTGTGAGTACAATCTATACAGATATTTGTTTAAAGTTGTTGGTTTGTTGTCCCCTGCCGCAACGTGGAACGGGGACTATGTATTCAGCGGCGTACGTAGTCCCGATTCTTGTTAACGCGATATCTCGTGAACCGTTGTACCCAATGTCTTCAAATTTGGTGACAGCCTACATTGGGGGATTACGCATACACCAGTCGATTTTGGTGACCTTCACCTTATTTTCAAGGTCACCACGACACTTTGACCGCTTATCAAACTCTTGTTAAAGCGATA